TCCTGTGTATATAGATGATCCTGTGTACAATGTGTATATAGACTGTATATAGATGATCCTGTGTATATAGATTGTATATAGATGATCCTGTGTACAATGTGTATATAGACTGTATATAGATGATCCTGTGTACAATGTGTATATAGATCGTACATAGATGATCCTGTGTACAATGTGTGTGTGTATATGTGTGTGTGTGTGTGTGTGTGTGTGTGTATATATATATATATGTATGTATGTATGTATGTATGTATTGTATGTATGTATATATATATATATATATATATATATGTTATATGTATGTATGTATATATATATATATATATATATTATATATATATGATCCTGTGTATATAGAGGATTCTGTGTACAATGTATATATAGACTGTATATAGATGATCTGTGTACAAATATATATATATATATAAAATATCTGTGTATATAGATGATATGTGTACAGTGTATATATAGACTGTATATAGATGATCGTGTGTGTGTGTATGTGTATATATATATAGACTGTATATAGATGATCCTGTGTACACACATTGCATCCTCTTAATCCAAGATATTGACTTCTTCACTATCTGATCCCAAACACATCACTGAGATTGTCTGTCTGTGACATTGTGATCTCATCTCCTGCCAGGATTGCACAGGACAGTACAGACGGGTGTATGTGTGTGTGCACATCGTGTATGTGTTTGTGTATGTATATTATGTGTAGTGTATGTATATTATGTGTAGTGTACAGTATGTAGTTTGTGGTGTATATCAGCTACTCTCACACTACATTCTCCAGCACTTAGCGATATGCCAGTACCTGTCAGCATTTTCTCTCGCTGTAACAATGTAACATATAACATATCCATATTGTACCCTAAGCCATGACTGTACATGATTTTCCCAGGCTTTAGGTTTTCTGACTCTTTAATGTTCAACTTTCACCCGGCGTCCCCAGCCCATGTTCGCCTTTCGGTGTCTTGTATTGCTCAGCCATGTCCTAGGTGCAGGTTTGACATGTTTGTACACACGCCAGGAGCGACTCCTGTATGGGAAAACGCAGATCAGTTCACCTGACAGAGGTTGGACAATCAAGTCGCAACATCAATGCAGCACACCGGGGTGAACACAAGTGATTTGAAATGATTAATATTCAACAAAAAAGAAATAATAAAAAAATAAAATAAAATAAAAAAATGGATAAAAATAAATATATATATATATATATATATATATATATATATATATATAAAATATATATATAAAAATATCTCTTGCTTGTCATGCAACAATATACATGCCATATTCTCTGAATGTGAATAAGCCCCACTTGGAGTCGTAATCGGCTGTCTGCTGTCAGTAGATCCCCATTCTGCTAGGATAGAACTCCCTATACCGTCTTATAATTTGGGAATGTGGAAAGTATCCATCAATGGCTGGTGATCCTTTCATACGGTCTATTTTATTATATAGGAATGTATATTATGCCCCCCCCACCCCCTCCACGGCGAAATTAACTTAGGTGATTGTATATTTATTTTTTTCCTGAGACTATTTGGATGTTTGCAGGATCTCCCAGCGTCTGGGCGCAGGAATGATTCTCCATCTGTTCCATAGTATAGTCACTGTATACATTACTGCGTATTCACCGCCATCCTGTCCTAGTATTACAATATATGTAATGTGTAGGGTATCAGCACCCCCCCCCCCCTTAATATGAAGTGCATTGAACTGTCTCATATGATGTATGTGTAGCTGTGTGCATTGCTGGAGGGGGTCCCGTAGCAGTATGCAGGGTCTATAGTTCCTCTATTATGGTATGGATGTGTATTGACATTGTGCTCCTTCTATCAAGTATTTATAGTGTTTCTTTTTTGGTATAAATATGTATCTGCAACCTAGTGTGACGTGTCTATAGCCCCCCCCTCTATTCTGGTAGGGATGTGTATATACATTGTACTTCTATGGGGTGTCTATAGCCCCCCCCTCTATTCTGGTAGGGATGTGTATATACATTGTACTTCTATGGGGTGTCTATAGCCCCCCCCCCTCTATTCTGGTAGGGATGTGTATATACATTGTACTTCTATGGGGTGTCTATAGCCCCCCCCCCTCTATTCTGGTAGGGATGTGTATATACATTGTACTTCTATGGGGTGTCTATAGCCCCCCCCCTCTATTCTGGTAGGGATGTGTATATACATTGTACTTCTATGGGGTGTCTATAGCCCCCCCCCTCTATTCTGGTAGGGATGTGTATATACATTGTACTTCTATGGGGTGTCTATACCCCCCCCCCTCTATTCTGGTAGGGATGGGTATATACATTGTACTTCTATGGGGTGTCTATAGCCCCCCCCCTCTATTCTGGTAGGGATGTGTATATACATTGTACTTCTATGGGGTGTCTATAGCCCCCCCCCCCAACCCCTCCTCTATTCTGGTAGGGATGTGTATATACATTGTACTTCTATGGGGTGTCTATAGCCCCCCCCCCTCTCTATTCTGGTAGGGATGTGTATATACATTGTACTTCTATGGGTGTCTATAGCCCCCCCTCTATTCTGGTAGGGATGTGTATATACATTGTACTTCTATGGGGTGTCTATAGCCCCCCCTATTCTGGTAGGGATGTGTATATACATTGTATTTTTTTGGGGTGTCTATAGTCCCCCCCCCCTATTCTGGTAGGGATGTGTATATATATTGTACTTTTATGGGGTGTCTATAGCCCCCCTCTATTCTGGTAGGGATGTGTATATACATTGTACTTCTATGGGGTGTCTATAGCCCCCCCCCTATTCTGGTAGGGATGTGTATATACATTGTATTTTTTTGGGGTGTCTATAGTCCCCCCTCTATTCTGGTAGGGATGTGTATATACATTGTACTTCTATGGGGTGTCTATAGCCCCCCTCTATTCTGGTAGGGATGTGTATATACATTGTACTTCTATGGGGTGTCTATAGCCCCCCCCCTCTATTCTGGTAGGGATGTGTATATACATTGTACTTCTATGGGGTGTCTATAGCCCCCCCTCTATTCTGGTAGGGATGTGTATATACATTGTACTTCTATGGGGTGTCTATAGCCCCCCCCCTATTCTGCTAGGGATGGGTATATACATTGTACTTCTATGGGGTGTCTATAGCCCCCCTCTATTCTGGTAGGGATGTGTATATACATTGTACTTCTATGGGGTGTCTATAGCCCCCCCCCCTATTCTGGTAGGGATGTGTATATACATTGTACTTCTATGGGGTGTCTATAGCCCCCCTCTATTCTGGTAGGGATGTGTATATACATTGTACTTTTATGGGGTGTCTATAGCCCCCCTCTATTCTGGTAGGGATGTGTATATACATTGTACTTCTATGGGGTGTCTATAGCCCCCCTTCTATTCTGGTAGGGATGTGTATATACATTGTACTTCTATGGGGTGTCTATAGCCCCCCCCCCTCTATTCTGGTAGGGATGTGTATATACATTGTACTTCTATGGGGTGTCTATAGCCCCCCCCCCCCTCTATTCTGGTAGGGATGTGTATATACATTGTACTTCTATGGGGTGTCTATAGCCCCCCCCTCTATTCTGGTAGGGATGTGTATATACATTGTACTTCTATGGGGTGTCTATAGCCCCCCTCTATTCTGGTAGGGATGTGTATATACATTGTACTTCTATGGGGTGTCTATAGCCCCCCTCTATTCTGGTAGGGATGTGTATATACATTGTACCTCTATGGGGTGTCTATAGCCCCCCCCCCCTCTATTTTGGTAGGGATGTGTATATACATTGTACTTCTCTGGGGTGTCTATAGCCCCCCCCCTTATTCTGGTAGGGATGTGTATATACATTGTACCTCTATGGGGTGTCTATAGCCCCCCCCCCTTTATTCTGGTAGGGATGTGTATATACATTGTACCTCTATGGGGTGTCTATAGCCCCCCCCTCTATTCTGGTAGGGATGTGTATATACATTGTACCTCTATGGGGTGTCTATAGCCCCCCCCCCCTCTATTCTGGTAGGGATGTGTATATACATTGTACTTCTATGGGGTGTCTATAGCCCCCCCCCCTCTATTCTGGTAGGGATGTGTATATACATGGTACTTCTTGCAGAGTATAGACTGTCATGATATGCGTTGTATCCAGTGTATGGATTGATGAGGAGGAAGGATGAGAATGCCGTCGTTTGTTCTGCTGTCAGGCTGAATTCTCCATCGTTCCCCCCTCTTCTGTCAGGATATACACTTTGTGCTTCACTCTGTCCTCCTCGCTCAGCTTCTCTTTCTTGCTCAGTGGGAACAATCTCCTCTTTGTGGACTTCTCTCCCTGTACTCCTCACGTCTCCTCCTTCTCCTTCTTCTACATCTCCCCTCTTAACATTGATAACATTTGTTTGCTTTGTAGCATTGCTGGTCTTCCAAACATTCCTTCTCCTTCCTCCTCCATGCAGTCATCTCCTTCCTCCTCCATGCAGTCAGATTCTTCCTCCATGCGGTCAGCTCCTTCTTCTCTTTCTTCCTCCATGCAGTCAGCATCTTTTCCTTCTGCTTCCTCCATGCAGTCAGCGCCTTCTCCTCCTTCCTCCATGCAGTCAGTGCCTTCTCCTCCTTCCTCCATGTAGTCAGTGTGTGGCCGGCAATACAGATTGATGTAACATTGCATCGCAGTGAGCAGCTCCATAATGCAGGTTCCATGGTTGGACGTTGTATGTCTTCTATATGGAGGTTTGTGGACAGGACAGCAGCAAGTTTTTCAAAGATGAAGTTCTGAGATCCAGTACATAGATATTTGTGTTTGCACCGGAATGTACAGCATGGCGGGGGTGGGGGGGGTATAGGGGGTGTACACAGTGACCTGGAGCTTCCTTCAAGGGACGGTTTTTTATTTTAATGGCCTTACCCAGGACCTGCATTGTATTTAAAGTCAAGCTCCATCCTTAATCTTAGTCCTCTGGCACAGGTGTACTGGCTCCTCCCCTTCAGTCTTGCACAGGTGTATTGGCTCCTCCCCTCCAATCTTGCACAGGTGTAAAAGTATACGGCTCCTCCCCTCCAGTCTTGCACAGGTGTAGCAGCTCCTCCCCTTCAGTCTTGCACAGGTGTACTGGCTCCTCCCCTTCAGTCTTGCACAGGTGTACCGGCTCCTCCCCTTCAGTCTTGCACAGGTGTACTGCTCCTCCCCTTCAGTCTTGCACAGGTGTACCGGCTCCTCTCCTTCAGTCTTGCTGTAGCCTCCTCCCCTTCAGTCTTGCACAGGTGTAGCGGCTCCTCCCCTTCAGTCTTGCACAGGTGTATCGGCTCCTCCCCTTCAATCTTGCACAGGTGTACTGGCTCCTCCCCTTCAATCTTGCACAGCTGTACTGGCTCCTCCCCTTCAGGCTTGCACAGGTGTACCGGCTCCGCCCCTCCAGTCTTGCACAGCTGTACCAGCTCCTCCCCTTCAGTCTTGCACAGGTGTACCGGCTCCTCCCCTCCAGTCTTGCACAGCTGTAGCAGCTCCTCCCCTTCAGTCTTGCACAGGTGTACCGGCTCCTCCCCTTCAGTCTTGCACAGGCGTAGCGGCTCCTCCTCTTCAGTCTTGCACAGGCGTAGCGGCTCCTCCTGCCCTTCAGTTTTGCACAGGTGTAGCGGCTCCTGCCCTTCAGGCTTGCACAGGTGTAGTGGCTCCTCCCCTTCAGGCTTGCACAGGTGTAGCGGCTCCTCCCCTTCAGTCTTGCACAGGTGTAGCGGCTCCTCCCCTTCAGTCTTGCACAGGTGTAGCGGCTCCTCCCCTTCAGTCTTGCACAGGTGTAGCGGCTCCTCCCCTTCAGGCTTGCACAGGTGTAGTGGCTCCTGCCCTTCAGTTTTGCACAGGTGTAGCGGCTCCTCCCCTTCAGGCTTGCACAGGTGTAGTGGCTCCTCCCCTTCAGTCTTGCACAGGTGTAGCGGCTCCTCCCCTTCAGTCTTGCACAGGTGTAGCGGCTCCTCCCCTTCAGGCTTGCACAGGTGTAGCGGCTCCTCCCCTTCAGGCTTGCACAGGTGTAGCGGCTCCTCCCCTTCAGGCTTGCACAGGTGTAGCGGCTCCTCCCCTTCAGGCTTGCACAGGTGTAGCGGCTCCTCCCCTTCAGGCTTGCACAGGTGTAGCGGCTCCTCCCCTTCAGGCTTGCACAGGTGTAGCGGCTCCTCCCCTTCAGGCTTGCACAGGTGTAGCGGCTCCTCCCCTTCAGGCTTGCACAGGTGTAGCGGCTCCTCCCCTTCAGGCTTGCACAGGTGTAGCGGCTCCTCCCCTTCAGGCTTGCACAGGTGTAGCGGCTCCTCCCCTTCAGTTGCTTGCTCAGGTTGTAGCGGCTCCTCCCCTTCAGGCTTGCACAGGTGTAGCGGCTCCTCCCCTGGAATGAAACTTCTTCCTCTCTGTCACTGCACACTGGGAGCTTCTCTCAAATGTGCATTAGCTGCAGCAAATAAGGCAGAGCTCCGCCTCCTACCTGGCATCCAGTCTGGCTGTCCCTGTCCCCGCCCCTTTCATTCATTGGATCCTTTCAATCACAGAGGAGGCTCAGCTTCACATGTGGGCGTCACCTAGGCTGGCCAGCATGCAGACCGACGTCCAACCAAAATATTTGCACAACTCCTCCCTATAGCCCATGCAAGCTTGCGCAGGACTGAGTGCTCTTGTGAGGAGTACTGAGGCAGGGCACCGTGATGTTTTCAGGAAGCTATGTATGGCACCCTGCTGGCCCCTCCCACCAGCCACGATCTGCCTGTGTCACATAGAGAATCACAGAAACTTTGATGACATCACTGGCTCTGAAATGAGGTACGGAATGAAAATAGAGCGAGCAGACGGTTCAGAAGCATTTTTTTTTTTTTTTGTTTGTTTTTTTTTTAGTTTTTTTTTAAGAACTCTGCCTTTTTTTTTTTTTTTTTTAATTTTTTTTTTTTTTTTTTTGTGAAGAATTCCTGTCTTTTTCATTTAGAACTCTTGCCTTTTTTTTTTTTTTTTTTTTTTTTTTTTTTTTTTTTAGTTTTTTTTGTGAAGAATTCTGGTTGTTTTTTTTTTTTTTTTATTATTATTATTATTATTATTATTTTTGGTGAAGAATTCTGGTGTTTTTTTTTTTTTTTTTTTTTTTTTTTTTTTTTTTATTATTATTATTATTATTATTATTTTTGGTGAAGAATTCTTGTCTTTTTTTTTTTTTTTTTTTCTTGTGTGAAGAATTCTTGTCGGTTTTTTTTGTGAAGAATTCTTGTCTTTTTTTTTTTTTTTTGTGTGATTTGTGGAAGAGATTCTAAAAATAGAACCCTGAGCTCGGTGAATTGATATAGAAGGAGATCTATTCGGCATTTATTTCTCTGTTCATCGGCAGCTGCTGACAGGGACAGGAACACGGAGGAGATATTGTATATAAATATTTGGAAACATTCGATCGCTTTGTATCGCGTTGTTTTTGTTGATTGTTTTCGGTCATAGGATTTTGTGTTTCCTAATTATTTTTGCTGGTCAGGTCAGAATTGTCATCCATCTGGTGCTGCTGGGCCTTTGGCTGCTGGGGGGGGGGGGGGGGGGGGGGGGGTTAGTGGCTGTGTGTGTGTGTGTGTGTGTGTGTGTGTGTGTGTGTGTGGGGGGGGGTTATTGGCTGTGTGTGTGTGTGTGTGTGGGGGGGGGGGGGGGTTATTGCTGCTTGTTCAAGAAAAAGTGCAGCTGCCCTTTTTAAAGTGATTGTATCGCTTTAAGGAAAAAAAAAAAAAAAGTGCCCCTCTCTGATGGATATTGGGCCATTCTTGTCCAAACAGTTCTGACACTTCCTGGTAGTGTCGGGAATTGCTCACTCCCCCCAAAGAAAGGCATTGGATGCAGAAAAGGGGTGGGGCTTAGACTATGCCCAGTCTAATTGGCCTGGTACTGAGGCGGCAAGAGCGCACTGAGGTCTCACGTCATGCATTCAGCAGCCTTTTTATTCATACAGTGAGACCAAGGCAGGGGGGCTACGTTCCTACAAAGAGTGGGGCCAAGGCAGGGGGGCTACCTTCCTACATACAGGGAGACCAAGGCAGGGGGGCTACGTTCCTACATACAGTGGGGACCGAGGCAGGGGGGCTACGTTCCTACATACAGGGGGGCCAAGGCAGGGGGGCTACGTTCCTACATACAGGGGGACCAAGGCAGGGGGGGCTACATTCCTACATACAGGGGGACCAAGGCAGGGTGGCTACATTCCTACATACAGGGGGAGCAAGGCAGGGGGGCTACATTCCTACATACAGTGGGACCAAGGCAGGGGGGCTACATTCCTACATACAGTGGGACCAAGGCAGGGGGGCTGCATTCCTAAGCACAGTGGGGCCAAGGCAGGGGGGCTACGTTCCTACATACAGTGGGACCAAGGCAGGGGGGTTACGTTCCTACATACAGTGGGGCCAAGGCAGGGGGGCTACGTTTCCTACATACAGGGGGACCAAGGCAGGGGGCTACTACGTTCCTACATACAGGGAGACCAAGGCAGGGGGGGCTACGTTCCTACATACAGGGAGACCAAGGCAGGGGGGGCTACGTTCCTACATACAGGGAGACCAAGGCAGGGGGGGCTACGTTCCTACATACAGGGGGACCAAGGCAGGGGGGGCTACGTTCCTACATACAGTGGGGACTAAGGCAGGGGGGGCTACGTTCCTACATACAGTGGGGACTAAGGCAGGGGGGGCTACGTTCCTACATACAGTGGGGACTAAGGCAGGGGGGGGCTACGTTCCTACATACAGTGGGACCAAGGCGGGGGGGGCTACATTCCTACATACAGGGGGACCAAGGCAGGGTGGCTACGTTCCTGCATACAGTGGGACCAAGGCAGGGGGGCTACGTTCCTACATACAGTGTGGACCAAGGCAGGGTGGCTACGTTCCTACATACAGGGGGACCAAGGCAGGGTGGCTACGTTCCTGCATACAGTGGGACCAAGGCAGGGGGGCTACGTTCCTGCATACAGGGGACCAAGGCATGGGGGCTACGTTCCTACATACAGTGTGGACCAAGGCAGGGGGGCTACATTCCTACATACAGTGGGACCACAGAGAACAAATGTTTTTTCCCTCCTTATTTCACCTGGCGATCTCCTGTATTAGGGCGCTGCCACTCTGGAGGAAGGAGCACAGGGGGCACCTTTGCGCAGCAGCATAGTCAATCTAGGACTTGGGGGGGGGGGAGGTGTTTAGATGTACTAGCTGATTTAATTACACTAACAAATTGAAGCCAAACTCCAGCTCACACTTTCTAAGTAGTTAGTTTTTTAGGGGGTGGGGTGGATAAGGGACGGTTCATACTATAGGAATGCAGTCCAGATGCGTTCTGGATGCATTTTCGCATGCACGTTTTTTGGCGCTTTCTGGTGTGTTTTGATGTGTTCCAGTGTGTTTTTTTTTTTAATGCATTCCAGTTCCTGTTTAAATTGAAGAAAAAGAAAGTGGGAAAATGAACTGGAATACATAAAAAAATGCACTGGAACACATCAAAAACACACGTCCCTATTTAAATTGAAGAAAAAGGGGAAAAATGGACGTGTGTTTTTTTTTTGGTGCATTTTTGATGCGTGTTAACGCCTCCCAGTACAGTTCTGTGCAGGAAAAATGCAGCCTGTTCTACTTTTTTTTTTCTGCCACCGGAACTGCAAGCGCCGATGTGAACTATGACATTGACCACCCTATCACCTACTTTCTGTGCGCTTTTTTGGATGCAGAAAAAAAAGCAATTGAAACGCATGGAGTGTGAATCGGTTTTACATAAATACAAGCTGACCATTGTAAACCCTCCTGTACATGGTTTTCCTCATTCCTCTAACTGCTGCGTCTGCAGGACAGCTTGTTCTGTTGAAAATCAACAGACCTACTGACAGGATCACCAGATGGAAAGAAAAAAAAAGAAAACGAATGCAGCCGCCCCATCTAAGCTGCAATATAATATATGTTTGCTTTTGGTTTTAAATGCCCTTTAAGTGAGGATGATGTCATTGTAATCGGGGTTGCGTGACCCTGTTCCGTGGTGTACAATTCTGTAACGTTGTGACCATCTGCAGTGTCCTCCTCGGGGGGGGGGGGGGGGGGGGGTCATCTGCCTCGGTGGAAGACATGTCTGGCTTTATTCCGAAAAACTGAAGACAGGCTTCCAGCTGAAGCAGATGATTTATTGCAGGCTGGAGGAGAATGGATCAAAGGAGGGGAAAATAGTGATTGTCCGCGTTGAGCGCGGTTCTTGTCCGCCGCCGTGCCGTGGTGTGCGTTCAGCAGCAGTGTGCTCGTGTCAGGCGGCTCTTCTCTTCTGCCTGTTGGTGGGCTCTCTTGGTATTGTTAGTTTTCAGTTGCTGTGTCACATGTGATTTTCCCATACAGCGACTGTCATTATCCCGGAGATGTGTTGGTTGTAATGAGTGTATTTTATGGGGAGAACATGCCGGAGAAGTCGATGGATCCCGTCTATTGGAACGTAAATTGGAGCCGAGTGGAAATACGGGACCACTAAATGCCGGCTTTGTTTAATTTTCTGTTTATTTTGAATAGATTTACACTTTTCTTCGGTTTATTTCTCACACATGGGAAAGGATCTGTCCTCTGCGTACAGGTGATGCGGCACGTGTTGTCCGCTTAAAAGAGAATATGAAAGCCTTGGGTGGCATTCACTGAGAATGTAGAGCGTCCATT